CCACAGCAAATACTGGCTCTCTTTCTTTAAGCAGATAAACGTAGGTTTTGACCCTTATGAGCCACCCTATCAGAAATCTTTCCAGTGTGGTTGCAGGGATTGTATTTCAACAATAATTTATATAAAGGGCTATGCTTGGCTTATGAATGTTTAGGAAGATTCAAATAGAACATGAGCCAAATTCGTAGAGACCCTCCATTTGCCCATGGTTTGTTTTTCTTTGTTTATTCAGTGCTGCAATAAATAAAATATTGACCGCGTATTGTGTGCCAGATAAGCTCTAGGCGCTGGGGATACAGCTAGGGACAAGGCGGTCACCATTCCCGCCATGGAACTTAGGACTAATGCAGAGGCCAGACAACACGAAAGTAGTGATGCTGAGTACCTTGAAGGAAATTAGAGCATGTTAAGGGAGCAGAGTGGGATTGGGAGGGGAGGGGTCAGGGAAGCTCTGTCTGAGGAGGTTTTAGAGGAGACCTGGATAAAGTGAAGTAAGCATGTGATGATCGGAGGGAAGAGCACTCCAGGAGAGGGAACAGCACATGCAAAAGCACAGAGGTGAGAGGAAACTGTGTGTTCAAGGAATGGGCAATCAGGCCGTAAGACTGCAGCTGGGTGAGGACAGGGAGACTGGACATAGATTAAGTCAAAGTAGCCAAATGACAGATTATCTGGGGTTCTGTAGACCGAGGTGAAGCCCCTGCCATTCTAAAGATGGGTCATCTTACAGCTTAGGCGGATGCTGGGGGGCGTGACGGGACACCAGTGGTGCTGGAGACATGACGGGATGCCTGCAGAAGCAAAACCTGAGTGACAAGAGTCAACCCCTAGGGACACCTGCAGGGTAGCCCTTGTGGGGGTCAGAGAAGGTGACTTCATGGTAACAGGACAAAAGGCGGGGCTCTCTGGGACTCAGGCAGATAGGCTGGTGGATTTGCCGGTGAGAAAATAAGAGTTTTCTCCTTATTGTTTCTTTCCTTCTTTTTTGTTTTGTTTTGTTAGAGAGACAAGTATGAAGACAGAGAGTCTGTGGGGGAGGAGAACCGACAGGCCATGGAAATACAGGGCTGTGTGGTTACCCCACAGCGGGGCAGACGGACCCACTTGGGCCACAAAGGGTCTGCATTTCTCTCTGGCCTCGTCAATTGCTGGGGGCACAGGCGAGGAATGAGGAACTGGTGATGAGCCTTGTTTAAGCAGAGTCGGGATTTTCCAGGTGAGTCGATGGAGAGAGAAGGGAGTACGGGAGGGGAGCATGAACACGGGGACTCATTGTAGTGGAGACCAGAGCTCAAAGCTGGGAAGCGCTGTGGCAGAGGGGATGCCAGACTATCGGAATGTGGAAGGTGTGTGGATCAGAGAGCTGGGAAGGGTATTTCGATACCGTCTGGTTTCAGACATGGTTTCAGAAGAACTGAAAACATGATCGATAATTCATTCACACAATAAATACATATCGAAGGCCTACTACAGTTTTTAAAACTACCTACAATTTGGAGAGTCAGGGTGGCTCAGCTGGTTAAGGGTGCGACTCTTGGTTTCAGCTCAGGTCATGATCTTGTAGTTTGTGGGGTCAAGCCCCTCCCTGCTTGGGATCCTCTCTCTCTCTCTCTCTCTCTTGCTCAAAATAAGTAAACTTAAAAAATTTTTTAAAAACTACCTACAATCTAATGAGCACTTAGTATGTCAGGCACTGTGCCAAGCATTGTTCATTTACCGCATATCATTTAATTCTCAGGACAGCCTATTACAGACATTGCTGTTATTATCCCCATTGTACAGATGAGGAGACCGAGGCTCACTGAGATCTAGTAATTTACACAAGAACACCCAGCTGGTAAGTAACAGATTGCTCTGTATGATTGACAAGGCACAGGGGTTGTAACTAGAATGTTCTACCATGTGCCAGTTATGGGTCGGGTTTCTGTCATTGTGACATTCAGCTTCAGGCTCTTCCCCTACTTGATCCCATCCTGCAATCAGGGCACCTCAGCTGCACCCAGGGTAGCAGCTGGGGTAGAGGTGGAGGAATGTGGAATTCTTCCCTTGTTTACGGTCTTGATGGGACTCTCAGTCAGGGAGCCTGACCTCCTTAGCTGAAGGGAGAGGACACATTACCTGAGCTCAGCCAACCAGACTCTTGCTCCAGAGGCTTTGATTCTTTTTTTTTTTTTAATTCTTAAAATGTTTTACTTATTTTTGAGGGGGTGGAGGGGCAGACAGAGAGGGAGACACGGAATCCGAAGCAGGCTCCAGGCTCTGAGCTGTCAGCATAGAGCCCGACGTGGGGCTCGAACCCACGAACCATGAGATCATGACCTGAGCCGACATCGGATACTTCACTGACTGAGCCAGCCAGGCATCCCTCAGGGACTTTGATTCTGATCAAAGGTCTGTTCTATTAAGGGTGGGGGGGAGCACGGAGCTAATGCATTTTGACTAACTCAACACTTACAGCATCTCCAGTCTCTGTCTTTTCCTTGCCTGGCTCTCAGCTTCCTGTCACTCCTGTGAGTTTCCCCCAGCCTGCCAATAAACTTCTTCTCTGCTGAAGTTAGCCAGAAGTGGCTCCTGAAACTTGCAGTTAAACCTGCACTGGCATATCAGGAAAGAAGGACAAAGTAGTATAAAGCTAAAATGAGTGACCTGTTCCTTGGACACATGTGTCCTGAGCAGGGCCAGAACTAGGGCAAGGCAAGTGAGGCACCAGGGCACTAAATTAAGGCGATGTCACCTTTAGACCATGTAAGTGCAGGGCTCACTCTAAAAGATGCCCCTCTCCCCCCTTCTCACCCCTCCCAGAAGTTAATGGCCTAGAGAACAAAGATTAATTCACTTTTACATCAGAGTATGAAGTGACCGGAAGTATTCAGGTGGCTTTCTGCTCCGCGTGCCCCTCTGGGGACGCTGGCACCTTCGGTGTTGTGGCGCTGTCATCCCCCAGCACATCATCATCATGACAAGGTCAAGGCTGGGGCCAGCTGGTGAGAAGGACAAAGAGCAGGGAGGATGCAGGCCTACCGAGTAAAGGCCTAGCTTGAAGTTTCATACATCACTTCCGTTGACAAGAGCCTGGTTACTCAGCTGTTCTTAACTGCAAGTGGGGGTAGGCGGTGAAACATCGCTGGGCAGCCACGGTCCTGCAGAAGAAGGGAGAAGGGCTTGGAAGGACAGCTGGTCAGCCACGACAGTCACTGCCCACACGGAGCCTGTTTCTCCGTGATAGTCAAGGGTGCTGGTTGTAAGCGCCATGCGGGCTCAGGGGGGGAGAGGTATTCAGGGACTGGGATAAATGAGGAAGGCAGGGAGGCATAGGAGATTGTTCCTCAGGAGGAGAACTGTAGGGATTACCTTCCCCCAGAGCTCAGGAAAAAGAAGGTAAACACGGCTCGCCACCTTGCCATGGGGCAGGAAGGAGGTCTTCTACCCAGCTTGAACCCTCATGGAATCTCACCATGGACTCCTCAGCATCACAAGGTCAAGGCATGGAATCTCACAGTGCAGTGTGGTAGACAGGATGGGATTCGAGGTGAGGAAAGCTGGATCCACTTCTAGCTCCTGCGTCGCCCTCAGGCAAACCCTTAACCACACCACACCTTAGATCCTCCTTTGTGAAATGATGGAGATGTATCATCAACAACAATAACAATAAACAATAACAGTATGAATAATAACAAAGTTGGGGTGAGGATCCCACAAAGCAATGGTCTGTAAAAGGCTCTGATATCCAGCAAAATGATGCAGACCAGGGAGGGGCAGACTACAGCCACAGGCCACCATCTAGAAAAGTTGAGTTGTGGTCAGAGAGACCATATGGCCGAGTATTTACTATCTGGACCTTTGTGGAAAGTTCCAGGAGGATCTCTGCGGGAGGGGGCTGTATTGATGTTAGCTAGCACCAAGTTTCAACTCCCCTGAGCACCAGTTTATTCACTGGTAAAATCCGACTAACAAAAGCTACCTTCAGTTCCAAGCTGTTTCCACGATCAAAGGAAACAACTTATGTAAAACTGCTTTGCAGATGGTCAGGTGGCATATAAATGGTAGTCACTATTTCAGACTTTCTGAGTAGTATCAATTTCATTATTTGGTCTCTGCCGAGCATCTGTGAAATGAACAACAAAATGCCTACTTCTCAGAATTGTTATAAGGGTCTGTGAGACAAAATGGTTAAACCATAAGCTTTAGAATCAAACCAGCCCAGTCTGGTGTCTTGTTCCCCTGGTCACTAGCTAGCTGTATGATCTCTGGCTCTCTGGAAACCTCAGTTTTCTCATCTGAAACAAAGGGATCAGCATAATACCTTACATCAGGGTTGCTGTGATTACAAAGGGAGATAGCCCAGTGAGGCCTTGGCTCGATGCCTGGCCTTGCTCTGATCCGCAGGTGCGGTGACAAATGCCACCTCCCACGGGTCCCCACTGATCGTACAGCAGAGCTGTGCCCCTTTGCCTGTGCTCAGCGCCCACGGCCAGCCCCGGGTGCCGGTATAATTAGCTCCATCTCGGTGGTGAGCAGCCACGGCTTCTCACAGCCTCTGACACGACTGTCACCTCCCACTCAGTTATCTCCACCGTTGAGTGTGCTTTACATGCCCGCTGGGCATGGGACTGAGTGCCACCAGAGGACAGCTCAGCCCTCAAAATCTCCCAAGGAGCTAAAGCCTTTTCCTTTACTCTCAGGCTGTGCCAGAAGAAAAGTTTGGGGGAGAAAATGCCACCTCTTGGATCAGCTGAGGAATCGCGTTCCTCCTGACCCCACGGCCACCGGCCACCGGGGTGGGTGGTGAGGGTGGGGAGAAAGAAAGCCTGTTTCTTTAAGGGGCCTCCGCTAGTGGGGCGGGGACAGCCTGCGCTTCCCCTGGCAGCTGGGCCCGCCCCGCCTTGAGTGACAGGCAAGCAACCCAATTAAAGAAAGAGAATTCGGCGTGACGGCGGAGCGGAGCAATGAGAGCCCGGGTTGGCTTGCGGGGGCGGGGTCCCGGGCAGGCAGGGCGGGCGGAGGCTGGTGGAGCCGCGGAGGCGAGACCCGGGTGCGGGAGCTGGGCCTAGGTCGGCGCCCTGGTGAGTGAGGGGCGCGCCGGGCGCCGGGGCGTGGCGGGCCGCCGAGAGAGGCCCGGCCGGAGGGACGCGGGGAGGAGAGGCTGGGCCGGGAAGGGGGCCGGAGGCTGCGGCCTGCATCCGCCTCGGGGACCGAGGAGCTGAGGGGCTGGAGGGCGGGCCCGGGCTGCACCGCTCAGGTTCCGCAAGGGGTCGCGGCCCAGTCGGGCCACCGGCCCCCAGGGACGCGGATTTGCGATCCGGAGGGGCGTCGGGTGACGGGGAAGGAGGACCGGGCCTTGAGGAGCGGAGGGAGGAGGAGGGTGGGAGGATGGAGCTTGCGGGCGCGGCGAGCAGATGGGGGAGGGCCGGGATGGGAGAGCGCTCCCGGGCGCCGGGGGAGTGTTTGGGGCTGGGTGGCCTCGTCTGCGGTCCTGGAGTCTCTCTTGACATCGCCGCCTCCGAAGCCCACCCTGCTGGTCACCCGGCCCCGTGGAGCCGGCCGGCTCTGTAGCCCCCGGCCCACCTACTCATCACCGCCGCTCTCCCTCTGTTCAGGCGTCTGTCGCCTCCTACCTGAACTGTTGCATTGTCGTACCTGATGTGTCCCCGCGCGCTCTGGCTGCTCTGCTGTGGGCCTCGCACCGTGGCCAGTGGGATGTTGGGAAATGCACATCAGATCAGGACACCGCTGCTAAAACTGGCCAGCTGCCCACCTCTTGCAGGATGGGCCCCAGGTCCTCACCCAAACCCTGGAGATCTGGTCCTTCCGACCTCTCCCTCCTGTTCAGTACTCTTCACTATCATTCTTCTATTCCTTCTACATTACCAACCCCCCGGGGGGCGGGGGAGGCGTCTTTGTACTTAGTCTTCTTTCTGCCTGGGCTTCTCTTCTTGGCCTGGCTTACTCCAGTAAACTCATCTTGGTCCTCCAAATCTGCACTCAAGTATCACTTCCTCGGGAGGCATCCCTGGGCTCTGACTCCTCCTCCTCCTCGTGAATTCCCCCACTTTTGTCACCCTGTGCACTTCTCCTTCAAGACACTTGAACAGTTGCAGTTTTACTTTTGTGAAAGTATTAATGTCTGTCCACCCCATCGGATAATAAGGCCCAGAAGACAGTGTCTGGTTTTGCTCCATGTATCTCCAGTGTCTTCCACGAAGGACCAGGCACTGTAAATATTTATTAAAAAAGGGAATGGAGGACTTGGCTTTGACAGGAGGGAGGGGTGTGAATCATGGTCCCTGATGGCCTGCCAGTGGAAGAAGGAACCCAACACTGCAGTGCTTTCTGTGTGCTCTATGCTAGGGCAGTGTTCAACATCCAAAAGAAATTTAATGCAATAGGGCACCTGAGTGGCTCAGTCGGTTAAGCTTCCGACTTTGGCTCCATTCATGATCTCGAGGTTTGTGAGTTCGAGCCCCGCATCAGTCTCTGTGCTGACAGCTCAGAGCCTGGAGCCTGCTACAGATTATGAGTCTCCCTCTCGCTGCCCCTCCCCTACTTGCATTTTATCTGTCTGTCTGTCTCTCTTTCCAGAAAATAAACATTTAAAAAAAATTTTTTTTTAATATTTTTATTTATTTCTAGGATAGAGAGAGACAGCATGAACAGGGGAGGGTCAGAGAGAGAGGGAGACACAGACTCTGAAACAGGCTCTAGGCTCTGAGCTCGCAGTCAGCACAGAGCCCGACGCGGGGCTTTAACCCACGAACCTTGAGATCATGACCTAAGCCAAAGTCAGGCGCTTAACCGACTAAGCCACCCAGGCGCCCCTTAAAAATTTTTTTTTAAAAAGGGGTGTCTGGGTGGCTCAGTCAATTGTGTCTGACGTCAGCTCAAGTTATGATCTCATGGTTTGGGCTCTGTGCTGACAGCTTAGAGCCTGGAGCCTGCTTCAGATTATGAGTCTCCCTCTCTCGCTGCCCCTCCCCTACTCGTGTTCTGTCTCTCTCTTTCTCTCTCAAAAATAAATGAACATTAAAAATAATAATACAAAAGAAAAAATATAATGCACTATATGTAATTTAACTTTTATAGTAGCCACATTAAAAAAAAATTAGTAAAAAGAAACAGGTGAAATTAATTTCTGGAACACATTTTAGTGACTATATTCCAAAATAATATTATTTTGACATATAACCAATATAAAAACACTATTAATGAAACAGTTCACATTTTTGTGGGTGTACTAAGTCTTTGAAATCTGGTGTGTTTTCTGCCGCATGGTCAGTCCATTTCAGTTTGTGGTAATCACATTTCCAGGGCACAGTGACCACACAGTACACAGGTTAGTAGCTGCCATATTGGGCTGTCCACTTTTGGAAACTTTGTATACCTTGTGGCATTTAATCATCTTTACGGTCTTTGGAGGTAATTATTATCTGCATTTTACTAACAAAAATAGTGCAGCTTCTAAAATTTTTTTTTTTAATGTTTTATTTATTTCTAGGAGAGAGAGAGAGAGACAGCGTGAGCAGGGGAGGCTCAGAGAGAGAGGTAGTCACAGACTCTGAAACAGGCTCCAGGCTCTGAGCTGGCAGTCAGCACAGAGCCCGACGCAGGGCTCGAACCCACGAACCGTGAGATCATGACCTAAGCGAAAGTCAGACGCTTAACCGACTAAGCCACCCAGGCGCCCCAAAAATAGTGCAGCTTCTAAAAGTTACATTGCCTGCTGGTGATCATCCTAGAGTTTGTGAGTGGAGGAGGGAAGATTAGGACCAGGACCCCATCTGTTCATCTGGAGTCTGGTCTTTCTATACCCTGTGCTGTCTGTAGGAGGTGCCCCGCAAACTCAGGGGTGCAGGGAGTGGGGAGTAAACTTGAAAACAGTGGCACCTTGTGGATATATTGCCTGTTCCGTCTGGTTTCAGGCAGAGTAATGTCCAGGTGGCCCAGGGACAAGCATCTTAGATGCAGTTGGAGGAGAAGCGTGCAAGGCAAGTCCTTCTTCAACCTTGTCACTGTACCTCAGCACCGTCTACGCCACCTCGGCCGGGTCCCAGGAGCTGGGTGGAAAATATACGCACCCTGCAGCATCTCAGAGATGCTGGGACACCATGCTCAAGTTAACAGTGTGGCTGTTCCATGCCACAGTTGCTCACTGAGTGAGCTTCCCCTTTTTGTGAGGCCAGCACTGCTCTAGGGCAGGAGGAATCATAGCCTTCGTCTTCAGGATGCCTACGGCGGAAAGACGAGACCGGACCCCAGGGCGATTAGATGCTGTGCCCGAAGGCCGTGTGCTGCAGCGAGGAACGAGAATCAGGGGTGTGCAGAGCCTGAAACGTTGCTGCGAGGCCAGGCTGTTTTGTGTTTCAGAGTGTTGACTTCGAGTTCCTAAGTGGGGTGGGTGCTCTGCAGCCGGCCCCAGTGCCTGCATAGATGCTGCCTGGCTTGTTTTCTTGTCTGCCCAGCTGGTTAAGGCATTTGAATCTGTCACCCCACTGGACACGCTGGTTTAGTGTGAGTCACCAGGAACGGTTCGCTGGGCACCGTTATGTGCCAGGCCTTGTATCGGCCACTGCTCTGGAGCTGACAAAACAACTCTCCAAGGTACTTCTTCTAGAAGAAAGCAATAACAGTAGTCTTAATAATAATGATGATGATAGAACATCGCCGGCAGCAGGGCTTTGCCTTTTGTATTGATTTTCCTCCTCGATCGCCTTCACATACGTTCTCATCTTGTCGTTAATCTCCGGCAGCCAGGCGGGAAGGGCTGTTTTATGCTGGGGACTGCGGTTACAGCATTTTTGTCACGTCTTCAAGTTCACACAGTCGGAATTCTGCTGACTCCTGTCAGGTGTTACGCTTAATATCCACACCCACTATATAGAGTAGGGCTGATTTGAATCCCCTTTTTACAGATACAGAAACTGTTAGAGCTGGATCCAAACCCAAGTCTGTCCCAGTCCAGAACGCAAGCTCCTGATCGCTAAGTGACACCACCTCCCTACAAGGTCAAGGTGGGAGGAGACCTCAAAGACATCTAGTCTAACCCCCTCACGTAGAGCAGGACAAGAGGCCCAGAGAGGCCTGTGCCTGTGGCCGGTCCGGGCAGTCAGGTCTCCTGCAGACGGGGAAACTAACCTGGACATGGGGGGTCAAGACCTTCTTTTGTCCCCAACTGGTAGCGTGGCCTTGCCAGCGTCTCTGGGCCTCCGCTCTCCTATTTATAAAATGAGAGGGCTTGGCCTGATTTTACAGCGTGGACAATGCTGTGTTGTTCGGGAGGGTGTTGAAGGAGTCAGGCCCACAGCTCGGGGGTTTCAGCCATAACCCTGGACTCTTCCCAGCTCGCCACACCCCCTCCCTGCACGAGCTGCTGCCCTGTCTCTACGGAGGGTGTCTTGTTTCACTTCCAGAAACTGAGGCACATGGCCTGTCAACACTGACCCTTCTAAATCCATTGATTATTGTAGTTAGGGATTTGTGCAGTTCCAGGCCATGAACAGTCCACTGTCAGTAGTGTTTTTATTCTCTTTTCAAAGGCAGTCAGGTCTCGGGCATCCTGGACGGGGCATCCTGAGCAGTACTTTCAGTGTGGAATTCTGCAGGCCCGGCAGCGTGCTGGGCCTTGTGCTGAAAACTTCAGGGAAGAGGAGTCTGGGGAGTCGACGCGGGCGGATCTGTCCTGCTTTCGGGTGGCTAACAGCCCTGGCCTCGGCAAGGTCACCTGGGTGGGGCGGGGGCGTCGGTGGCATGCGGTGGGCATTGCTGGCACACAGGGTTGAGAAACACAAGCCTGGAGTCTGCTTCTCAGACTTGAACGTGCACATGAACCACCTGGGGGTCTAGTTAGAAGGCAGATTCTGACTGAGCGGGTGACTGGCTGTGTCGCAGGCTCCCCCGTAATGTGATGCTCCCGAGGTGCCACTCACGCTTGGGTCGCGAGGGAAGAGGCCGCACAGAGAGAATGGCCGGCCCGCGGGACTGTGACGGGTTGTGCGAAAAAGCGGGAACGCAGGTGGGGACGCGCTGAGTTCGGCCTGAGTGGAGAAGGCCAGGAAAGCCACACAGAGGA